GTAAACATTGTGTGGGTGGAGTGAGTGCACCCGCATGGTGCCGCTTTGGCTGGTGTTTTACTCCCTCTGGTGCCTGACCTGTGCGGCCATGTTTTTCCAGACCTGCAGCTTCCAAGGACCATGTGGCTGATTACCTAGCTCAGAGACTTGAGTGAAGAGGTCTGGTGACCCAGCCTGGTGTGTGAAGGGTTTGTGGCCCAGTCTGTGAATGGGCTTGAGGGGTCTGAGAGCTCCAGACTCAGCCCTAGGTCAACCATCGGCCCAGTCGGTGCAGGATTACCGGCAGGTAAAAGAGCCATGACAACTACCATGGTCACCTAGCGTTACAATTGGCGTTAGAACAGGATTAAGAGCTAGACAACTGGCGCTGTGAGGTTTCCTCACAGTAGCCAGAGGAAGGAACGTACAGTCAGTACTAAGGGCCAATGATCAGACGCTTTCATTGAAAATGATATAATCTAAGTCTATGATATTCACCTTCCTTAAAAGAGTAAAATAAAAGTTTGTCATGACTGTTTCTTTGTTACCCAACTGTTGTACCAACTGACTACTGCATTCTTATTTAAATTTCTGCAAATCAACTACTTAAAGATCTAAGTGTAATTTCTTTTAAAATCTCAAGAATGCTTTCACAGTCTTCTAGAGTATTTCTGCTTCTCCACAATTTCTCAAAGATGATATCTCTGAGAACACATCTTCCAGTTTCTTCAGTACCTGAAACAGTCTGCCCTGGAGCCTACAGAAGGCCTTGCCAATACCTTGACTTTAATCCAGGGAGACCCAACCTGGACTTCTGACTTCCAGAACTATATAATAATATATCTATGTTGTCCTAAGTTACCAAGTTTGTGGTAATTTTTTTACAGCAGCAACAGGAAACTAATACAGACCTCAGTTCAAAAAACCTTGGCTCAAAATCAAGCTCCTTTCTTCCTGCCAGGGTCGTGTGTTTATTGCCAGATTCTTGGTCTGGATTTGAATTCCGTTAACGGGCTGTCTTTTAACATATTCATAAATCCTCATACCAAGCTCTAATTCATTCATCACTCAAGACTCACCTTTCTATCCTGTTTCTTGATCTAGTCTCTGATACTGACTCTTGTGCCTGTATGAGGATACTTCAAAAAGTTTGTGGAAAAATAGAATTTAAAAATAATATGAAGCTTTCCATGAACTTTTTGAAGTATCCTTGTACTTTTACTTCTCTAGTCTTAGCTCTCTCATTTCTACTAGGCCCTCCATAGGCTCTGTCTGCTGTAAGCTTACCTGTAATTTGTCTATCTTGCCTTGTTATGGGATTCTCATTTTCTTTACTTCCCCTGAATCCATAATCATTGCTCTACTGTTTACAAATTACTCAATATCAAATTAAAATAAACTAAGGTAAGTATAACAGTAGTAGGTTTTGTAAGTAAGGAAAGAGATTATGGTAATATTAACAATAATATTAAACAGAAAGTTTTAGAAATACTATAAATATAAACTATCTGCTTTAAATGAATTTAAACTTCTACACACAGATAACTACAACTCAAATACTAGCTAAATCACTGAGTAAAATTTCAAAAATTCTTAGGTCACAAAAGGTGCCATAAAACTGGATTATATTTAAGTTCAGCCATAATATTTAAAAAGGGAATAAGGTGGGAAGGAAAATCCTAAAAACTAAACACCAATTAGTTTGACAGTGATTCCTGCTTCTACTTTAGTGCTGTCAGCACTTAAGACAATAAGGGTTCACCAAGAAGAAGTCATGCCAAATTAACCTAACATCCTTTTTCAAGAGGACCGTTAAGTAAATTATTTAATAAAGGAAATGCTGGGGACAGAAGATAAATTAAGTTCAACAAAGTTTTCCTTACTAGCCATGTGAACAGATTAAAGTTTCAAAATAATCAATAGTTTAAAACTTTGAACTGTGCACAGTTGGTGGGAATGTAAAATGGTGCAGCCATCATGGAAAACAGTACGGTGGCTCCTCAAAAAATTAAAAATAGAATTACCATATGATCAAGCAATTCCACTTTTAGGTATATATCCAAAAGAATTCAAAGCAGGATCTCAAAGAGATATTTGCACACCTATGTTCATTGCAGCCTTACTCACAATAGCCAAGAGGTAGAAGCAACCCAAATGTCTACCAAGGGATGAATGAAAAAACAAAACGTGGAAAATACATACAATGGAATACTATGAAGCCTTAAAAAAGAAGGGAATCCTGTCACATGCTACAACATGAATGAACCTTGAAGACATTATGTTAAGTGAAATAAGCCAGTCACAAATGAACAAATACTATATTACTCCACTCATATACAGTATCTAAAAAAGTCGAAATCATAGAAACATAAAGTAGAAAGGAGGCTGCCAAGGGGGTGGTGCAGTGGAGGAGAAGGAATTAGTGTTAAATAGATATAAACTTTCAGTTTTGCAAGATGAAAAAGTTCTAGAGATCTGTTGCACAACAACGTGAATATACTTAGCACTATTGAACTGTACACTTGAAAATGATAAAGATGGAAAATTTAATGTTATGTGTCTTGTACTACAATACAAATAGCACAGAGAAAAGTACCTAAACTTATTCTATGCCTAACTGGAGTTTACTAATTAATTCATTCAACAAACGTGTATGTAATGGCAATGATGTAACAGGCACTGTACCAGGTGTTTGCGATCTACAGTGAACAAAACAAAGATCTTTGTCCTCATGAATTTTACATTCCAATGGGAGACAGACAATAAACATAATAAAGCAGTGCGGCAGGCTCCCTCTAAGTGGCTCCCAATGATCCCTCCCCAACATTCACACTTCTAGGTATTTCCTCCCCTGTGTGTGGGCTGTACCTAACAAGCAGAATAGAGCAAAAGTGATGGGATGTCACTTCTGAGATTAGTTTATAAAAGGCTGTGACTTCTGTCTTGCTCACACACTCTCTCTTGCTCTCTCCTATTTGCGTGCTCTGCTGAGGCCAGCTGCCATCTTATGAGCTGCCCTGTGGAGAGACAAAGAGTTGAAGGTAGCCTCCAGACAACAACCAGCACCTAACTGAGGCCCTCAGTTCAACAGCCCACAAAGTATTGAATTGTGCCAACAACCATATGAATGAACATACAATGAATCCATTTCCAGTCGAGCCTTGAGATGACTGCAGTCCTGGACAACACTTTGAGTGCAGCCTGTGAGAGAACCTGAAGCAGTGAGTCCACACAGATTCCTGACAAACAAAAACTATGATAAAAAAAAAAAAAAACATTGTTGGGGCCGGCCTGGTGGCGCACTGCTAAAGTGCACCGCTTGGGAGCGCGGTGGCGCTCCCGCCGAGGGTTCGGATCCCACATACAGACCGGCCGCTCACTGGCTGAGCGAGGTGCGGGCGCGGCACCGAGGGTTGCGATCCCGTTGCCAGTCCCGGTCCGGTACGGGCGCGACACTGAGGGTTGCGATCTGTTGCCGGTCATGAAAAAAAGACAAAAAGGGAAAAAAAAAAAAAAACATTGTTGTTTTAAGCCACTAAGTCCTAGAATGATTATTTTACACAGCAACATTTAACTGATACATTAATTATATGGTATGTTAAAAGGAGATGCCAAAAGAAAAAAAAATGGAGGGCGGGGGAAAGATTTGGGGACAGGTTACAAATGTGAGTTACAACTTTAAAAAGAGGTATTACAAAGACTGGCACATGAATGTTTATAGCAGCATTATTCATAAAAGTCAAAAAGTGGAAACAACTCAAATGTACATCAATTGGTGAATGGGAAAAAAAATTGGTATGTCTAGCCAATGGAGTATTATTCAGACATGAAAAATGAAGTACTGATACATGGTAAAACATGGATGAATCTCAAACATATTATGTGAAGTGAAAGAAGCAAGTCACAAAAGACCACATGCTGTATGAGTCCATTATGTGAAATGTTCAAAAACGAAACTCTATAGAGACAGAAAGTAGTTTCGTGGTTGCATGGGGCTGGAGGTGGGAACAGGATTAACTGTAAATGGGAATGAGGGATTTTACTGGGGTGATGTAACCACTCTAAAACTGGATTATGGTTTTATCTCATGGTGGTTGTTCAAATTGGCAAATTTTACTAAGAATCATTGCATTGTACACTTAAAAACAGGTGAATTTACATTACATAAATTATACCTCAAAAAAGTTGTTTAAAAAAAATTGCAGAGGTTAACAGTACATCATTGAAAACACAACATTAGTAGAACTTTGAAGGAGCCATGAAAATATTTGGGGAAACACACCAAACAACAGGAGAGCTAATGCAAAGACCCTAGGGCAGGAGAATACCTGATGTTTCTGCAGAAGAGTAAGGGTGCCAGTGTGGCTGGAGTTGAATTTGAAAAAGGCAGGCAGAAGATGAACTGAGAGAAGTAATGACAGATGAAGGATGGTGGTAATAGGAAACACAGTGAGCTTTTCACACCACTGGAAGGACTTTGGCTTTTACCATGACAGAAAAAATAAATAAATAAATAAATAAAAAGATGTATATGAAGGTTCTGAGCAGAGGAGTGATAAGATCTGTCTTTGCATTAAGTATAAAGGGATCCACATAAGCTAGGTGCCTCCAGAGTTACTGACCTTTCTTTCTGACTAGCATACTGAAGAAGTCTCTCATTGAAAGGAAGGAGAAACTAGTTAGTGTCTCAAAATATGGCCTGCAAGCCACCTGTATCAGAACCTCCAGGGGGCTTGTAACACATGCAGATCCTCAGGTTCCACCCCTGATTCTGAATATCTGGGGCTGGGGATGAGACTCTGAATTTTACAAACTTCCCAGGCAGTATCTTTGAGAAACACAATGAACCAGATAAACATTAAGGTCCCTTCAAATTCTAAATTATGAGAAAGTATATAGGCTACCCAAACCATGTTTATCTAAAGAAATGACTAGGGTTTCCATAAATGGACATCTGAATTGATTATTTTATTTTATTACAGATGAAGTGACTTTTTTTCCCCATTCTCAAAAAGCCTTACCCAGTTGTTTTTTTTCCCAGCATAAATTTCCATGTTCTCTCCATACTGTGGCTCTTCCAGTAATGTCTGGTATTCAAACATGAGGCGAGAGCTCTCACGGAGGCGGCTACATTGGAACTGGTGATACTGTTGCACAAGCTCCTTCACCACAAGCAAGAGACATTCAGGATTTGAAGGATTCCAGGAGGCAAGGTTCTGTAGAAGCCATAAATAAGAGACCCGTTAAAAATGAACTTTCATATAAATCCAGTATCACATTCACACATCAACATAAAGGAAAAGAGTGATAAAAATCTAAGAGGACAGACTACTCCTAATTAACCATAAACCTAGAGATGAAGCTAGAAGGGTCTTTTGATCTTGGTGATTTCTCCTACCTTCTAAAACTCTTTGCAGAAAATCAAGGAGGAATTCCATCATGAATAAGCAGAAAAAAAAAAAGAGCAAAGCAGGGTAGTAACAAAATCAGAAACCTAAATATCCTAGAAGACCATAATTTTAGTCCTGGAAGACTTAATTTGTTTCTTATTCTTTTGTAATTTTAATTTTTTTTCAATCTGTACCTAAATTAAGCATTATATGCTAAAGTAATTAAACTCAGAGCCACAGACCATCTGCATCTGTAATACCAGTATAAATAAATGTTCTATAAGCCCTAGAGCCTCACATAAATATAAGCACAATAGCGATGATTTGGACTGAAAAATATAGGAATGGATGGAGTAGGAACAAGGGAAAATACAAGTACAATTAGGAAATACAAGGCTTGGGGATAAAGGTGAAGGAAGTGGCTGTGAAATTGTATGACCAGGAAACTTGCTGGAAATGAGGGAAGATCTGATAAGTACATAGCAGATGTTAAGCTCACACTCATTAATTCAACAAATTCAACAAATACTTACCAAGTGCCTATTATGTATCACCCAGTGCTCCAGGCAGTGAAGAAAACAAGCCAAGTCCTTGCTCTCAAGGAGCTTACATTTTAATGGGCCCAAATAAACAATAAATAATTAAATATATCAGATGGTAATAAATGCTACTGAGAAAAACATAGCATACATCCCAAGCCTAGTAAAGGAAGGAGAAAGAAGTAATCAGCTATGTCAAATGGTGTTGATGAGTAAGACCAGGCCTGAGAATTAATTACTGGATCTAGAAACACACAGGTCAATAGTGATCTCAACAAGTACTATTTTGGTAGAGTAAAGCCTGATCATCTAGGGTTTAAGAAAGAATGGATAGAAAAAAAGTGTAGATAGCTGGTACAGACAATGCAAACTGGTTACTAGAGAGCAATGTGGGGTCAAAGGTAAGTTTTGTACGAATGTCTGTAGCCTGATGGGATGTCCCTGTAGAGAGGAGGAAACTGATGATGAGTGAGAGAGGAGATGGAATACCAGGAGAGAAGATAATGAATAGGCAGGTAGCGATGAGATCTCCAAGACAGGTGGCCTTAGAAATGAGCACAGAGCATCCACCCACAGGAATAGGAGGGAAGGCCAACTAAATGAGTACAAAGGCAGGCAGGTTGTTCATGTGGTGGCAGGAGCCTGTGACCATTCTCTTCTGATCACTTATATTTTCTCCACGAAACAGGAAGGAAGGTAATTAACTAAGAGTGAAGAAGAAGAAGAAGAGGACACTGGAAATTTGAGAAGAAAATATGAAATAGTCATTTAGAATAGTAAACAGACTGGGGGGATGCAGTAGGAATTCCAGAGAGCACCAAAAGCCCCCCTGAGGTTACAGGTCATGATTTTTAAGTGTGACTAGTCAGCCTACATTCTGCTGCCTGGGTGCAGATGTGGAGTAGGCAAATTTGGATTTTAACAAAGATTCGGATTTTGCCAGACAAATACAATAGAGAGAAAGAGGGGCAAGAGATCTTAGACGGTTTGTGAAAGAATTATTACAATTATGGACCATGGACTTGAAGCCAGGAAAAAGCCAAGTAAGTTCATAAGGGAAGACAAAGTTAATGAAAAGGCGGTAGGACCAATGGACAGTAGGTTTTGTTCTGCTGGAAGTTGAATGGATGTTGAGTTTTTTGTTTTTGTTGTTGCTTTGTTTTTTTGGCCATTGGCTGGTACAGGGAACCAAATCCTTCACCTTGATGTTGTAAGATCACACTCTAACCAACTGTGTTAACTGGCGAGCTTGAATGGATGCTGAATGGAAGTTGGTATTGCATGGATGGAACTGGAGACCAGTATGTTAAGTGAAGTAAGTGGGCACAGAAAGACAAATACCACATGATCTCACTCATGGGGAATCTAAAAACAAAAACAAAAACAAGAAACGAAAAACAAAAAGTCAAGTGGTTCTCATAGAAGTAGAGTAGAATAATGTTTACCAGGGGCCAAGAAGGGAAGGGAGTCTGGTGGGGGAGGGGAAATAGTGGATTAACAGGTATAAAGTTACAGGTAGATAGGAAGAATAAGTTCTAGTATCCTAGGCTGTCTAGAGCTAACAATATTATATTCTACACTTCTAAATAGCTAGAAGAGAGGATCTTGACCATAATCACCACAAAGAAAAGATAAATGTTCAGGGGATGGTATGCTAGCTATCTACCTTAAGTGAATCATGGTACAATATATGCAGGTATTGAAACAACACACTGTACCCCACAAATATATATAATTAAATTTTTAAATAAGGCAAAAGAATGGTTGGAGTTGAGGTACTGCAAAGAATGAGTTTCATATTATACAACTTTACAGATGAGGAAACTGTGGCAAAAAGTAGTTCAGAACATTGCCTAAGATCATAGAGCTATTAAACAAAAAAAGCTGGGTTTTCAACTTAAAAATTGGTCTCCAACTCCATGCTCTTGAGCACTATACCAGAGGTTCTCAAACATTTCAGTCTTGGAAAACTTTCGGATTCTTAAAAAATATTGAGAATATGGGTTATATGGATTAATATTTACTGCATTAAAAATGAAAACTAAGAAAAAATTTTAAATATTTTAAAATTTATTTTAAAATAAACACCACTACAAGTTAACACACATAACATTTTTAATATAATAACCACATTTTCTAAACAAAGGTGTGAGACAAGCATGGCATTGTTTGACATTCTTGCAAATCTCTTTACTGTCTGGTGTAACAAAAAAGCTGGATTCTCACAACTGTTTCTGCATTCAATTTGTTGCAATATGCTGTTCTGGCTGAATTATATGAAGAAAATCCAGCCTCAATCAAATTTGTAGTTTGAATAGAGGAGTATTTTAACAGTCTTTTCAAATGATTCTGGATAGTCTTTGTACTACACCAAAACTCAACAAGTCGTAGTTTCTTAAAGGCTACTTACAGTGTGGAATCTGAAACTATATTAATAAATGTTTCATACATTTATATTAAATTCCATTCATCTATCCTGCCCTTTGAATGGATCTTTTTACTCATGTATAAATTTTGTACATTATGCATTGGTCACATAAAATATTGATTCACTGAGTTGTAAAAATCTTCCAAATGTTGACAAATGTCATTTATACAATATCAAAAAATGACATTCATTAACAGCACCACCAATCTCATAAGAAAAGTCTTTAAATAATGGGAAGATGTCAACCTTGGGGTAGTGAATATAAGTTTTCTAAAATTCTGATTTTCACTTGAAAGCTAGAATCTTATCATTGGCAAAAACACTATCAATTGTTGCCCTTGAAGTGATAAGCTCACTTTGTACGTTTTTGAGAAAATGTCTGCCAAATACTCTAGTCTGAATAACCATAGTTCATCTATCAGCCATTCTTTCAAGCAAAAAGGATGGCTCCAAGAAAAAAGCAGCTAGTTCAGCTTACAACTCAACCACACTAATGATTTTCCTCAAGACTTCAGCATGCAGAAGTCCTCTGTGTATATTTTATCAAACACAATTGAACAGATGTACACTCAAGGGCTGGGACTTCATAAAATTTATAATTTTGATTACTTCAAGGACATTCTTAAGTGAACTGGCTTTTATTTTTGTTGTATTTTTGTTTACTGAGATGTGTGGCAATGGAGAATGCAATGACTACTGGTATAGTTTGATGCCACTGCCTTGATTAAAGCTAAGCCATCAGTTTTATCCACCATTTCTTGTGCAGTGTAAGTGCAAACATCAACATGGTAAAAAAGGGAAATAACATCTTAATATGATTATGTACATAGTTTTGGCTTTCCAGACCCCAGAAGGGGTCTCAGGGATCCCCAAGGATCTGCAGACCACACTTTAAGAATTATCACACTACATTATATTGCCTCAAGGACAAACCAAGCACAGCTTCTATCAAACAAAAACAAAGAGAAGGTTATTTAAAAAAAAAAAGCCAGTTTACTTAAAACGCCAGATACTATTTAAAAGGAAAGTAATTGCTCTACAGAGTGGGTTGATTTACAGAGACTAAATGACAATGGGGAAATCACTAAGTGCTCTTTCATTTATAGGAAGTACATATAGGTCTTAATGAATGTTCAAATAAAGACTTGATGAACAGAAAGAAAAGTAAGAACTTCAGCAACATATAGTGAATGAAAGAGGTACCTTGACATGAAAATGATTTGATAAGAAGAGTGCAAAGTCCTCCCTGGCAAACCTCTTGACCTCAATAGCCTGAAATTCCTTCTTAAGTATTCAAGACCACATTCAAAGTATCAATAGGATTTAACAACACAGTACAGAACTTAAAATGATCATTATATAGATTGCTATGCATTTCCAACAGAGATCATCATTAAACAGATTAAACAGTTTTATAAATGGGAAAAAATACACAATATTCCATTTCTTGGTCAAGTATTCCTTTCCAGTCCTTACTTTAGTACTAGAGGAAAAAGAAAAAGCTTTCATTATCTCAATTTATATTTTTTAATTCTATCATTTCTCTTTAGTTGCTCAAGTTACAAGCTTATATACACACACCAAAAAAGTTATGAAAACATATTAATTGGCAAACATATCTTACCAATATGAATTCATTTCAAATGATTCAACCTAATTGTTAAATACACAGTAAAGCCATGCCAACCATCCCCTTTCCACTAAAACAGAATTTCCTAATAAATGGAAATGCATTTGACCTCCTTGGCAATTCAAGGCACATGTCCCTGGAAAACATACCCAACAAAGGAGGCTTAGATATACTAAACAAGATAAAAATTCTTCTACATGACCACTTTTACTTGTCAGGTAATTTGTGG